ATACTTTTTTGGAGACTATGTGCGTGGATTTTTCAAAGAATATTTTTTTGGAGACTATAGGCGTGCATTTTTTAAAAAATATATTTTTGAGACTGTAGGCTTGGATTTTCCAAAAAATATTTTTTGGAGACTATAGGCGTGGATTTTTCAAAGAATATTTTCTCGGAGACTATGGGCGTGGATTTTTCAAAGAATATTTTTTTGGAGACTATAGGCGTGGATTTTTCAAAGAATATTTTTTGGAGACTATAGGCGTGGATTTTTCAAAGAATATTTTTTTGGAGACTATAGGCGTGGATTTTTCAAAGAATATTTTTTTGGAGACTATAGGCGTGGATTTTTCAAAGAATATTTTTTTGGAGACTATTGGTGTGGATTTTTCAAAGAATATTTTTTTGGAGACTATAGGCGTGGATTTTTCAAAGAATATTTTTTTGGAGACTATAGGCGTGGATTTTTCAAAGAATATTTTTTTGGAGACTATAGGCGTGGATTTTTCAAAGAATATTTTTTTGGAGACTATAGGCGTGGATTTTTCAAAGAATATTTTTTTTGGAGACTATAGGCGTGGATTTTTCAAAGAATATTTTTTTGGAGACTATAGGCGTGGATTTTTCAAAGAATATTTTTTTGGAGACTATAGGCGTGGATTTTTCAAAAAAATATTTTTTTTGGAGACTATAGGCGTGGATTTTTCAAAGAATATTTTTTTGGAGACTATAGGCGTGGATTTTTCAAAGAATATTTTTTTGGAGACTATAGGCGTGGATTTTTCAAAGAATATTTTTTTGGAGACTATAGGCGTGGATTTTTCAAAGAATATTTTTTTGGAGACTATAGGCGTGGATTTTTCAAAGAATTTTTTTTTTATTGGAGACTATAGGCGTGGATTTTTCAAAGAATTTTTTATTGGAGACTATAGGCGTGGATTTTTCAAAGAATATTTTTTTGGAGACTATAGGCGTGGATTTTTCAAAGAATATTTTTTTGGAGACTATAGGCGTGGATTTTTCAAAGAATATTTTTTTGGAGACTATAGGCGTGGATTTTTCAAAGAATATTTTTTTGGAGACTATAGGCGTGGATTTTTCAAAGAATATTTTTTTGGAGACTATAGGCGTGGATTTTTCAAAGAATATTTTTTTGGAGACTATAGGCGTGGATTTTTCAAAGAATATTTTTGTTTTTGTAGACAAATCAACTTTATTAATTTTTTGATCAAATAAATGCTAAAAATATAAATAAATTGTATGAATATTCGCGGCGCAAATTAGCGAGAAATCTCAATACAACATTATGTAATACATACAACATTATGCAATTCTAAGCGATTTGTTATCAGCGTTTAAACGTTTAAAAACGTTTGCCCTGACTTGCGGCACGTGACAGTGTTGATGACTCATGCCATATGTAAACATTTTAAATTGAAATATATTTTGTGCACAGTGTTTTAAACAAATATCAAGTCGTGCATAAAAATATTAAACAAAAACTATTTTTTGAACAACTACATCGAAGTACACATTTTTCAAAATGTATTTCAACTACTATTAAGGCGAGGATTAAAAAAAAAAAATATTTTGTGGGTCAACTATCTATGCGAAATTTTTGAAAAAAATATTTTGGCTTTTTTAGAAAATAATTTTTTAGTAAGTTTAAGGGAACCCCCCATTCTCGATTTTAATTTTTCAAGATTTTCAATGGGCTGGTAAATCAATACCAATGCTTGTTAAGGTTTGTAACTTTACACATATATAATTGAAGATTTAAAATAGAAGAAAAATAATTTACAAAAAATTTTTGTTGTTGTTTTTGTAATTAAAGAAAAGTCCTTATTTTTGATGGCGGGCGTGATAACGTCTCACTGAAACATCGGAATCCGAAAATTCCAACGGTGTTAGAAAGAGTACATGTCTGGCTCTCGTATGAACTAGGATTATTGACTTCACTCTAAAATTAACAAAATGACGGACCTTTGAAAAAATATTTTTGGAAAATCACAAATTTTTTACGAAAACCAAAATTAAAAAATAAGGAAAATCTTCACCGATTGGCTTTATCCTAGTTCATACGATAGCTATACACTCACAGAGAAACGTGTAAAAATTTGAAATCGATTGGATTATTAGTTTTTGAGTTATCGTGTCCGCCATTCGCAAAAAAATGTTTCAAGAAAAACGCGTTTAAAGTTTGAGAAGCCCTTCAGCCGGCACTTGATGCTGACACAATAAATCGGCTATATCTTCAAGAGTTCTTGAGATTTTCATTTGAAAATTTGTAGGGACATTCTTTAGTTAGTGTAGATTCGAATTATCTCTTAAGGTGGGTATTTTTATACCCTTCAGCACACTGTGGTACAGGGTATTATGTCTTTGTGCATATTTTTGTAACAATAAAAGGAAACGAGATAGACACATGGTTCCTTTTGAGAATATGCATACAATCACTTTCACTTTTCGTCCGATTTAATGTAAATGGTGCACCAAGGTCCCTATATATCTTTCGATTTGCACGAAATTTGGCACAGCGTAATGAATTAGGTCTAGAATGATGTGTGTTAAGTTTCCTGAAAATCGGTTCAGATTTAGATATAGCTTCCATTAAATCGTCCGATTTAATGTATATGGTCCTCCAAAGTCCCTATATATCTTTCGATTTGCACAAAATTTGACACAGCGTAATGAATTAGGTCTAGAATGATGTGTGTTAAGTTTCCAGAAAATCGGTTCAGGTTTAGATATAGCTCACATATATATTTTCGTCCGATTTAATGTAATTTGTGCACCAAAGTCCCTATATATCTTTCGATTTGCACGAAATTTTGCACAGCGTAATGAATTAGGCCTAAAAATATGTGTGTTAAGTTTCCTGAAAATCGGTTCATATTTAGATATAGCTCCCATATATATTTTCGTCTGATTTAATGTAAATTGTGCACCAAAGTCACTATATATTTTTCGATTTGCACGAAATTAATGAAATGAATTAGGCCTAGAAATATGTGTGTTAAGTTTCCTGGAAATCGGTTCAGGTTTAGATATAGCTCCCATACATATTTACGTCCGATTTAATGTAAATTGTGCACCAAAGTTCCTATATATCTATCGATTTGCACGAAATTTTCCACAACGTAATGAAATAGGTCTAAAAATATGTGTGTTAAGTTTCCTGAAATTCGGTTCAGATTTAGATATAGCTCCCATTTATATTTTCGTCCGATTTAAAGTAAATGGTGTACCAAAGTCTCTTAATATATTTCGATTTGCACGAAATTTTGTACAGCGTAATGAATTAGGTCTAAAATGACGTGTGTTAAGTTTCCTGAAATCGGTTCAGACTTAGATATAGCATCTATATCTGACCAAAAGAAAAATTTGGTATCAGTTGCAGAATGACATGTTTATTGATCCAATTTGATTTTACTGGTCCTTTAAAAATGCGACGTCTGTTAGGATTCATCTGTTGAATATACCCAAAGTGGTGAGGGGCATAATATAGTCGACCTCGTCCGACTTTACTACTTTCCTTAATCGTTTTTTTTAATATTTGTCGACCAATTAGTGGATTTTTAAAAATATATTATTATTTTTTTAAATTGTTTTTGCAAAATAGTCAGGCTTAATCCCAGTTTGTTGTTTTTATAAAAAACAACTATTTATTAGTGGGGAATGTATGGCATTGTCCGCCGAGGGGTAAGGCAGGGAAGACTATAGTTTCGGATCTCGCCACTGATCCTCATCAGTTCCCTTAGTTTTTTGTTGGGATATTCTCCCCAGAAGCTATTAATAGCTTCTTTACAAAAAACCTTTCAAACCCAAATGTCTCTTGTGACAATTCGAAGTTCTTACGTTACCAGTGATACGACCCCAATGAGAAGTTCGTTTCGTTGGCGCCTGACTTCGTGGTCAACAAGGCATTTACAGACAACTATCGCTGGATTTTTTGAGTAGCTATCAAGGCGTAGATTTTTTATAAAAACAATTTTAGTAGTTATCAAGGCGTACTTTTTGTAAAAGAAATATTTTTGAGTAGCTTTAAAGGAATGAATTTTTAAAAGAGATGTTTTTGAGTGCCTATCAAGGCGTGAATTTTTAAAATAATATTTTTTGGCGTAGGCGTAGATTTAAAAAAAAAAAATTATGTTTTAATAGCTATCGAAATGTGAGTATAAAGAGCATTTTTTGTATAACTATGAATGCAAGGATTAAAAAAATATTTTTTGAGTAGCTTTTAAGGCGTTGATTTTAAAAATATTTTTTTTAATTTTTGGCCTGGATTAAAAAATATTTTTAACACAGTATCATAGCTAAACTTTTTAACAAATTTCCAAATCGGGAGTTTTCTTTTTCACAAAGAGACCACGTCATAGAAATAAGTGCAAAAATGTATATAATATTTAAATAACCAAGCCGAGGGTGTTAATTTGTTGTTATAAGAGGCAACAACAACAACAATAATTATTATCAATTTAATTGTTATCAGTAATTAGGTGACTGGGGGTATTGGTTGTTTCGATATGTCGCACGTCTCTTCGGCAATGAAAATTGTTTTGGAAAATCAGTAAGCGAGAGAGTCAGAGTGTGTGACTGAGAGATAGTAATGAGTAAGGATGAGTAATGTACGCACTGTAATTCAAGCAAACGTTTATCAACGTTTTACTACCTCTCCTAACCCACCCAAACAAACATAAATCATGGACAAGGGGAAAAAACGATTTTTCTAGATACGAATTTCATGAGTTTTTGATCCCGCAACGAAAATTAAAATACTCCAAGCGACCGGTTAATGATCGACTGAAATAATATAAAAGGCAAATGCCGGCATACAAATGCTAGCAGTCAAGTGGAGCCAGCCATCGAACCGCAAAGTGCAGAGCAGAGTCGAACTACAAAACAAATAAATACTATTTCACAACAAATAATTGCAAAACGCAAAATAAAAAAATTATTTTACAACAATAAAAATTATTTGAACGATCAAAACCAAGCAATTTGAAGGACATGTCCGAAATCGAACACGACGGCCTTCCACTTATGGACGACGAACAACCTGTTATAATGGAATGCCCAAATTGTGATCAGGAGGTTCTGGAGGTCAACCAGGAGGCAGATACTACTATGCCTGAGGCCTCGACAATTACCAAAAAACATTACAAGAAAGCCATCAAGGCCCTCATGAAATCCTACAAGGCCCAAAAAACCTTGGAGAGAGTTATGCTAAGTATGGCCGATGAAATGTGTAACAACGGGGAGAAAGACGCTGAGAATGAACATGGAAAAGGTGCTAAGAAACATAAACGTCGTCATCGTTCACGATCATCAACGTCGTCGGGAACAAGTAGTGGAACTAGCAGTGGTACTAGTAGCGGCACTAGTTCTAGCTCCAGTGAAAGTGAAGTAGAAGAAAATGACAAGAAAAAGAAATCGAAACATCATAAAACGAAATCTAGTTCTAGTAGCTCAAGTGAAAGTGAAGTGGAACTGGACAAGAAAAAGAAATCGAAACATCAAAAAAAGAAATCGAAACATCATAAAAGTAAATCAACTTCCAGCTCTAATTCTAGTAGCTCCAGTTCTAGTGAAAGTGAAGATGAACTGGAATTGAAATCGAAACATCAAAAAAAGAAATCGAAACATCATAAAACGAAATCTAGTTCCAGTTCTAGTAGCTCAAGTTCTAGTGAAAGTGAAGTTGAACTGGACAAGAAAAAGAAATCGAAACACCATAAAACGAAATCTAGTTCTAGCTCTAGTTCTAGTAGCTCAAGTTCTAGTGAAAGTGAAGTGGAACTGGACAATAAAAAGAAATCGAAACATCAAAAGCAGAAATCGAAACATCAAAAAACGAAATCTAGTTCCAGCTCTAGTTCTAGTAGCTCAAGTTCTAGTGAAAGTGAAGTGGAACGGGATAACAAAATGAAATCTAAACATCATGGTCGCCGTCCACATCATATGCCACCATTCTGTGGAATGTGGGGATATCCTCCATTTGGTTGTCCCGCAATGTCCCGTTCTAACTGCTGTGGTATGGTAGGTATTGCAACGTGTCAAAAACGGCTGGGAGAAATGAAGAAGCACCATGACTGCCATGAGAAGCATGTTAGCCGTTCTCGTTCCCACTCTCGTGGACGTCAATGTGAAATGAAGAAGAATCACCATGGCCATCATAAGCGCCACGTGAGCCGCTCTCGTTCCCGCTCGCACTCTCGCGGACGTCAATGTGAAATGATGAAGAATCATCATGGTCATCATAAGCGTCATGTGAGTCGTTCTCGTTCCCGTTCTCACTCCCGTGGACGTCAATGTGAAATGATGAAGAAGCATCATGGTCATCATAAGCGCCATGTGAGCCGCTCTCGTTCCCGTTCTCACTCTCGCGGACGTCAATGTGAAATGAAGAAGAAACATCATGGTCATCATAAGCGCCATGTGAGCCGCTCTCGTTCCCGTTCTCACTCTCGCGGACGTCAATGTGAAATGAAGAAGAACCACCATGGCCATCATAAGCGTCATGTAAGCCGCTCTCGTTCCCGTTCTCACTCTCGTGGACGTCAATGTGAAATGAAGAAGAACCATGATGGTCATCATAAGCGTCATGTGAGTAGATCTCGTTCCCGTTCTCATTCTCGCGGACGTCAATGTGAAATGAAGAAGAATCATCCCAAGCGTCATATGAGCCGATCTCGTTCCCGTTCCCACTCTCGCGGACGTCAATGTGAAATGAAGAAGCACTGCCAAGGCCATTATATGCATCAAGGCAATAATAAACCGGGATGTGGAAGAAATGCGTATGTGCACTATAAGGCAGCGTCTTCGTCAAGTTCCAGCTCCAGTTCGAGTAGCAGCAGCAGTAGTGACGAAGAATATAAAGCGAAATTCCACGGCAAAGGTAAAAAATATCACAAGAAAATGTCCTCGTCTAGTTCAAGTTCCAGCAGTAGCGAAGATGAGTCACCCAAACACCAGCGCACACCCCACTGTCCCCAAATGGCTATGATGTTTGGTCGTTTTGCCAATCATCCGATTATGAGGAACTGGCCATGTTCGAAAATGTTTGGACTTGGTGGCAACCCGTTTATGATGCAACAACGTAATATGATGTTCAGGCATCCATGGATGAAGTGTCATCAAGGATTTGGTGGTGGTTGCCCCACTTTCCCTGGCCGTATGCCACATTTTGGATGTTTCTAAAAAAATAATAAAATTGCAGCTAAACGAACAACAGTATTGCTAAATATATAAAGCGATTATATGTTATATAGATATGTATGTAAACAAATATTTGATAAGCAAAAATTCGATAAAAAAAGATAAAAATTAAAAAAAAAAACAATTGCACAATTTTAAAGACTAAATAAAATAAAAAAATGCACCCCTTGCAAAACACATATCATATTGAGTTTTATTTAGTACAATACATAAGAAAAGGATTTAAGTAAAATCAGTTTCATAAAACAAGCAAGAATAATAGATTAAAAATTATAATTCTAAACGATTTTTGATAATAAGAATTTTCCATAAAATTCCATCCAAATTTTTTAATAAAAAATTCACATCTTTATTCCTGGATTTCTAACGAGGCTTTAATGGCGGAGATTAAAAAGAATATTTCTGAATATTTCGGCTGAAGATAGAATCTTGAAATTTTGGGTGAGGGCCACAGATAAGGCTGGGTTTTAGGAAATTCGTACTAGAACGGTACGAAAAGTACTAAATGTGGTACCATTGAATTTTAAATGATAGTTACTGATGGAGTGTGGAATAGGAATAGCAAAGAGTTTTTTGGACATTCGAACTATAAATATGCGAAAAGTACGAAAATGTACTAAATTTAGTACAATTTGATAGCATATGAATAAATATAGCTAAGAACTTGAAGTTTGGAATGCAAATTAGGGTTGAGAAATAGGATCGATATAAGGAGATGGGGTTGAAAGTGTATACTCATGTATACGAAAAGTACTACATTTGTTAGAAATTTAATTTGGAGGTACAAATGGAGCTGGAATTCTGAAATTTAAATTAACATTACCGTCGGAGTGTAGAATTGGGATATGTATGTAGTTTTGGAAAGTTTTACTATTGTGTACGGAAGTACTAAATCATACTATAATTGGTACAATCTGGATTTTGGTGAACTGATAGAGCTGGGATACTAAAATTTGGAGATAGGATCATTGTTGAGGTGTGGATTTGGTGTATATAGGACATTTTGGAAATTCGTACTAATGTCCACTATATATTACGAAATTTGAATTTGGATGGACGAATTGGGCTATTTATACCCTTCACCACATTGTCGTACAGGATATTATGGTATTTTTGTGCATATGTTTGCAACAGGCAAAAGTAAACGAGATAGACACAAGGTTCCTTTTGAGAATATGAATAGAATCACTTTTTAAGTTTATTTATGCATGTCCAGCTCGCATTTTTTAATCAAATTGGATGAAATTTAGGACAGCTCATTTATTTGGCTCAAGAACGAACTCTATTGAAATTGAAACAAGTGAAAAGGCCGTAAGTTCGACGGCCGAACTTTGGATACCCTCCACCATAGTTATATTGACAGGTACTATAAATGAAAATATAGGGAACATACCAAAAAGTGGACCTATACCGACATTTCTAAAAACGGGTTAAGTAAACCTCAGCCTTATGGCTTATAATGGTGTATACACTTTAACACGATGAAAATGTGCCTCATCGAAATATTGGTTCTAGGCCCCATGTTTCTTTGGACCAAATCCGTTTCAGAAAATTTAGATTTCATCCGAACTTTGCCCATCTTATTATTTCTTCCAAGCATAGTTCAAATTCGAAGATGGGGAATATCGGTTAACTCCTTCTGGAACCTCCAATCAGGGGCTAGGTCTAAATGCGGCTATAGTTCATTACAGAACCATACGTTCTAATTTTTTATCTTTCTATCCTCCGCAGGTGAAATTATTACAAAAGAGTCTTAGAACCAAACTCAAAACGCGCAACAGATAACTATTGATAACTATTTGAAAATAAAAAGGGGTTTATATGGGGACTACCCCAAAAATGGGGCGAATATTAATAATTTTTGGTAGGGAGATTTGTTACCATATGCGACTACAAAATACCAAATTGCAGCAAATTCGGTTGAAAAACGCGCTCAAGAACCCCAAAATACCGAAATAATTGAAAAACGCGCTCAAGAACCCCAAAATACCGAAAAAATTTACCTATATTCATACTATTTTGTGGAGAGATTTGGAACCTATTAAGAACTCAATGTACCAAATTTCAGCATATTCGGTTGAAAAACGCGCTCATGAACCCCAAAATACCGAAAATTGGGGGTACCCGTATATGGGGGATATCCAAAAAAAATCTACATATATTTATAATTTTATGTGGAGAGATTTGGTACCTATTAAAAACTCGAAATACTAAACTACAGCCACTTCGGTGGAAAAATACGATCAAAAACCTTAAAATACTGAAAATTAGGAGGTACCGTTATATGGGGGCTACCAGAAAAAGTGGACCAATATTTATAATTGTAGGGACATTAAGTACCCAATAAGAACCCAATGTACCAAATTTCAGCATATTCGGTTGAAAAACGCGCCCAAGAACCCCAAAATACCGAAAATTGGGGGTACTGTTATATGGGAGCTATGCCTAAACGTGGACCTATATATCTCATCTTCGAACTTGACCTGCCTGCAGACAAAAGACAACCCTATGCAAAATTTCAGCACCCTATCTCTTCAGAAGATAGCGTGATTACAACAGACGGACGGACATGGCTAGATCGTCTTAGAATTTTACCCTGATCAAGAATATATATATAATATATAATATATATCAAGAATATATATATTCTTGATCAGGGTAAAATTCTTTATAGGGTCGGAAATGAATATTTCGATGAGTTACAAACGGAATGGCAAAATTAATATACCCTCCATAATATGGTGGAGGGTATAAAAAATCGGTTCAGATTTAAATATAGCTCCCTTATATTTTTTCGTCCGATTTAAGGTAATTGGGTACTAAAGTCCCTATATATGCTTCGATTTGCACGAAATTTGGCATAGCGTACTGAATTGATACTAGAATGATGTGTGCAAAGTTTCGTGACAATCGGTTCAGATTTAGATAAAACTGTCATATATACTTTCATCCGACTTAAGGTAATTGGTGCACCAAAGACCCTATATATCTTTCGATTTGCACGAAATTTGGCATAATGTACTGAATTGAGTCTATAATAATGTGCGCTAAGATTCTTGAAAATCGGTTTAGATTCAGATATAGATCCCATATATATTTTCGTCCGATTTTATATAAATTGTGCACAAACGTCCCGTTATATCTTTCGATTCGCACGAAATTTGACATAGCGTACTGAATTAAGTCTAAAATTAGACTTAAGTCTAGAATTAGACTTAATTAAGTCTAAGTTCGGCGAAAATCGGTTCTGATTTAGATATAGCTCCCATATATACTTTCGTCCGATCTTATGAAAATGGTGCACCAAAGTCCCTATATAACTTTTGATTTGCACGAAATTTGGCATAGCGCACAGAATTAAGTCTAGAACGATGAGTGTTAAGATACGTGAAAATCGGTTCATATTTAAATATAGCTCCCATATATATTTTCGTCCGATTTTATGTAAATGGTGCACCATAGTCCCTATATATCCTTGGATTTGAACGAAATTTGGCATAGCGCATTGCATAATGTCTAGAGTTATGTGTGGTAAGTTTCGTGAAAATCTGTTCAGAATTGGGTATAGCTCCCATATACATTTTCGTCCGATTTTATGTAAATGGTGCACTAAAATTCTTATATAATCTCCGATTTGCACGAAATTTAGCATAGCGTACTGAATTGAGTCTAGAATGATGTGTGCTAAGTTTCGGAAAAATCGGTTCAGATTTCGATATAGCTCCCACAAATTCGTCCGATTTTACATAAACGTCTCAAATTGAAACTTGAATGACGTTATTGCGTTTTGTTGAAAATGGTGCGATGTAGCCATAGCTTGTGCGACGTATCGAATATCGTGTATCAATTTTGCTATACATCGTTTTCCATAAATTTGTCTCATGGTACGCAGACGACTGTAAATCTCTCCGAATGAAATTAAATTTATCAAAGGTTGCAGAAAGACATGAGTTTGTTCCTTTGAGGGAACATTAACATACGTATGTTGAAAGTTGGAGTTAGGATTATTGTTGAGGTGAAGGATTGAGATCTGAATAAAGTATTGGAAATTTGTACTAATGTGTACGAAATGGTATCAAAGGTGGATATTGGTGAACAGATAGATCTGGAACACTGAAATTTCGAAATAAGGTTACTGTTGGTGTGCAGCGTTGGGGTATGGATGTAGGTTTGGAAATTCATACTTGTGGGTATTAGGAAGTTTTGTAAATGTGTACCAAGTTTTGCTTTGATTGATACGATTGAGTGGGAATCTTGAATTTTGAGATTAGGATTACTGTTGGGGGGTAGGATAGGACTATGTAGAACGTTTTGGAAATACGTACAAATTTTGACTAAATGGTAGCAAATTTGGATTTAAGTGAACCGATAAAGCTGGAATCTTGACATTTGGAAATAGGATCGCTGTAGGGTGTTAAATTGAGGTATGTAGGAAGTTTTGCACTAAATTTGGTAAATTTTTGTTTTAGAGGCACCGACCGAGCAGGAATCCCGAGCAGGGTAATAAGATTTCCTTTGGATTGCATGATGTAGGTTGTAATGTAAATTTGTACGTATGTGTACTAAACGGTACTATATTTGATATAATTTGGATTTAGGTGAACCGATAGAACTGGAATCTTGAGTTTTGGATTTAAGATTGTGGTGTTTTGGAAATTCGTACTTATGGTTGATAAAATAGGTAGTTATGGAAATTTATATTAATGTGTATTAACTGGTATTAAATTTGAATTTTGGTGAATCTATATTTGAAATTGGGGATAGAGATAGATTTCTGTTGCGGTCAGAATTTGTGTGTAGAGTAGAGATATTGAGTTTTTTTTGGAAATACATACTATAGGAGAACATACTAAGTTAGTTATGGTCAGTAATAGTTTTTTTTTTTGAATAATTCGTACTTTCGCTAACGAAGTACCGCTCATATGCTAGTTTTAAAAATATTTTTTTAAGACTATCTGAAAGAGTGAATTTTTAGAAAGCGG